GTGTGTGTGGTGTGTGTGTGTGGGGGGGGGGGCGGTGAACTTTACTTAAAAGTTTTCCCCTCTCATTTGCAAAACATCAGAGTTGTACGGAGCCCGCGAGGGGACATGGGAGTTTTTTCTTTTGCGTTCTTCCTATGCAATAGTATTGCGTTACCTCACAATACCTTTTGCGTTCCCTCGCAAAAGTCATTTATCACTGTTGTGCCTGCCGATTTATTAACAAACTCACATGTTCACAATTAGCGAGTTAGCCTACTGCTTTAATTCAGCTTCAGAATGAATATATCACACAGACACACATGTATGCCATGTGACAATATTTTAACACAGTGCAGCCACGCAACATCGATGTCAATTTCACGAACTTGTGGTGACACATCCTGTTTTGGTAACCGGATATTTCAAAATAAAAGTCTGATTTAATTCAGTTCATATACAAAACAATATTTTGTGTGGGAACGCAAAAGTATTGCGAGGGAACGCAAAAGGGAAAAAAATCCCCCCGTGTCCCCTTGCGGGCTCCATAAGGTTGTAAAGTAACTAAGTACAAATACTTTGTTACTGTACTTAAGTAGAAATTTTGCTTGTCTGTACCTTACTTGAGTAATATTTTTAGCGTACTTTTTACTTTTACTCATTACATTTTTACACAATAATCTGTACTTTCTACTCACTACATTTTTTAAAAAGGTAATAAAGTCATTACTTCTGTTTTATTGAGTTATTACTTAAAAATACTATCCTGATAAATTGTGTCTCCTGGATAGAGTGAATTTAATTGTGGTTGGATGAGAAGTATGAATATAAACCATTCTGACAACCTATTAGCTCGTACACAACCCATCACAGCTGCACGCCGTTAGAAAAAAAATTTTTTTTTTGGAGGAATCACCTCTCAATGAATGTCGTTTTGGAAAATCTAACTGCTCACTTTTACTCAATAGTTTTACTTTTAACACTTAAGTAGATTTTGTGTCAGAAATTTACTTTTGATACTTAAGTACAAAAAATATCAGATACTTTAAAACTTTTACTCAAGTAATATTTTTAGGGAAGACTAACTTTTACCAAAGTATTTTTATGATAAGAAACTTGTACTTTTACTCAAGTATCACTTTGAGGTACTTTATACAACACTGCAAAAGATATGTTTTAGAAAAAAATCTCTTTAATTTACTCCACAATATTTTTTTCTCAGTTAGTAGAACTGATGCATCTCAGCAAGAAGGTCGCTGGTTCAAATCCCGACCCGGGGACCTTTCTGGGTAGAGTTTGCATGTTCTCTCCGTGCATGCGTGGGTTCTCTCCGGGTACTCCGGCTTCCTCCCACAGACCAAAAACATGACTGTTAGGTTAATTGATAACTTAAATTGTTCCTAGGTGTGAGTGAGAATGAATGGTTGTTTGTCTCTATGTGTGTCCCTGTGATGGACTTGTGACTTGTCCAGTGTGTACCTCGCCCCTCGCACTGTGCCTGCTGTGGGCACCAGTGACCCACGTGACCCCAGACAAGGAATGAACGAGTATAGGTGATGGATGAATATTTAGTTTATTATAAGAAATGATTTTGTTGCCCATTTTAAAATAGATGCTGCTTTTGCTTTTTAAATATGAGATTTTAATTTGAAACCTGATCGTAAATATACTGTATGCAAACAGGGAATCTCTCTTAAAGGGATCCCTGATTAATTGTAACATTTGACTTTATATGATAAACATATACTTTAACTGTAAAATAAAGACTGTAAAAATACTGTAGGATGTTTAGTTTTTATAATTTTTAAACTAAAAGTTTAAAAATATATTACACGGACGGGGCCATTTTATTTACACGCAAAGCATTCTGGGTAAATGATGACATCAACTAGGTCATCGGTGCGAGGCTGCTAGCGAGCTATATCCACCCTGAAGGTTAATYTTGGACAATATCTGATGATCGACTCTTTTAAATGAAACCAGAGAGCGTTGACAGAGAGGAGAAGGTAGAAATGACTCAGCCTGTAACTGAAAATATGGATGGAGGACAACAGAGCTGCTTCATGGAAGAAGAACCTCAGCTTAGCCTATTAGCTTTAGCGTTAGCACCGACGCTATCACCATGTACATGTATTAGCTCAGCGCTATACATTCTCCTCTCATCACTCAGGTCCTCCATCCACATGACAGAGAGGGTAACGCAAAAATGACTCAGCCTGCAGCTGATAATATGGATGGAGGACCTCAGTTTAGCTTGTTTGTTTGTCGCGCTAGCGCCGAGCTAATACATATAAGGCAATATAGCGTGGGCGCTAGCACAAAGGCTAACAGGCTAAGCTGAGGGTCTTCTTCCATGAAGCAGCTCTGTTGTCCTCCATCCATATTTTCAGTTCCAGGCTGAGTCATTTCTACCTTCTCCTCTCTGTCAACGCTCTCTGGTTTCATTTAAAAGAGTCGATCATCAGATATTGTCCAAGATTAACCTTCAGGGTGGATATAGCTCGCTAGCAGCCTCGCACTGATGACCTAGTTGATGTCATCATTTACCCAGAATGCTTTGCGTGTAAATAAAATGGCCCCGTCCGTGTTAAAAAATATTTTAAAAAATTTACAAAACTAAACAGCCTTTTTACAGTCTTTATTTTACAGTTAAAATAAATGTTTATCAAATAAAGTCTAATGGTACAACTAATCGTGGATCCCTTTAATAAAGAAAAGCCCATCATTTCTTGAAAGAATGTTCATCATCTGCTTATATTGAGAMGTGGTGAAGTTGTAACCACTCTGGTCAAACCTTGAAAATAACATTATGGACAACCTCACAAGAAAAAAGCGTCAGAGTTTGTGTTGTGAGTGAGTTTCAGTTACTGCCACAACTAAACTGCCTGAGTTATGGCCAAGTTTGTGTTTTCTAAGGTCAGTTGGCTGCACTTGGTTTCCTCTGTCTCCAAATGTTAATCAGTTGTGGAGGCGCCGCTGATGATTGTTTCCTGAAAGCTTGATTTAAATCCATCCAGCGGTTCATGAAATATTTCTGGTAAGTCCAGACACACTCATAGACAGAAGCGAAAACATCATCGCGCCACCACGAGGCAATAATTAACTCGCAGTGACAAGACTATTCCCCAAGCATCGTTCRGTTGCACTACGTCGCACTCATTCGCTGCCCTTGTTGTAAACTGTAGAGATCGAAGGAGCAGCCAGAGTCAGGTTTTGCCAAATGCAACAGCTTTGTTCTCTCACTTCGATGAACTGCTCACAATCCCTGCAGCTTTTATGGTCAGCCAGACTCCCCCCTTTTCCTCTTAATCAGTCACCTACAGGAAACCGCGAACAATATGCTTGTTGTGTCTATTTCTGCCCCAATCTTCACTGTTTTACTATGAAATGTGTTGGGGGGGAAAATACTTCTTTTCTTTTTCTTTTTTCTATTTTTTATTTTCTCTGCAAAAGGCTGTTCGGTTGATTTGGTGTTTTCTCTACGTTTCCTTGAGGCTTTTAGACAATCGCCTTGAAGTTGAAACAACTTCTTATTGTTCAAGATTTCCTGTTTTCAGTTTCAGGAGATCACGTGAGTTTTCTTTTGCCTGCAAGACACATTCTTTGGTAAGCATCTAGAAAACACAAYGACATATATGAGAAGATTTCCAAATATGTTAACGCCACACTGGTTCAATGTCAAATTGTCTAAAAACACACAGAGGAAAAAAGTTTACACTGGTGGAAGACCTTTGCTATTTTCTTCATACTTCATATTCTGACTGATATTAGGTACTAACTATTTATAATGTTTTCACATCACTTCCAAAGTAAAAAAATACAGTATCTATTTAAGTTATTTCTTTATTTAATCTGCACAGAAGAGCATAGCATTCACCAAAGGGAGAAAAAAAACACTCATCTCATAATTATCAGATCCAGAACTCATAAATTATGAGAAAAGATA